AACACGAGACTGCTCAGAAAATAGATATTCAATATTTAACGCGGATAAATACCGAACGATGGAGAAGGCGCGAATAATGAATTGAATGGGCTGGAGTTGATCGAGTGGCATGGCTCGGCCATGCAGGCGTGGTCTCTGCTGAATGTTACCTTATATCTTCTATTCATATTAAATATATTGTTCTTTCTCTAGCCTAACCTTGTTCTACATCATGTATTGGTAATTGATGCGATACAGTGAGTTGGTGTAGTCGATGGTGTGACTTCCACGTAAGATCTTATAGATTAGGCAGTTATATCATGACAAGTCTACAAATTTAGGATTAGGTCTATTATTAGAGCAGTACTAATATCATAGTAGACCATAATTCTACAAACCTACGTAATCTTACGTTGAACTCGCAAATTATTATTCTAACTCAGTTTATCTCAGTACCCAGGTTATCCCCCTTAGTACTTTTGGATGTCCGACAGAATTTTACCAGAAGGATCAGCTAGAGATTTGGCAGAGGTAATGTACGAAACGATATCAATCGGTGATAACGGAGTTGTGTCCTCACTCCATTAGCTTACGTAGTCATCCGTGACAACGACGAAGTGTGGTGGTGATGAACATAAAGTGACCAGCCTTCTAAGTTGAAGATGCATTTTGGTTGACTGAGAATTTTGTCTATGTTCAGTGTTGTTTTAGTGGCATTGGACACTTTTGAATTCCATATAAGCAGCAGGATAGCGTTTCATCATATACGACATTAGCTATCTTACGTTACAAATTGTTGTATTTGAGTAAGTTCTGTTTTTCTGTGTAAATTTTCCAATTTTCTCCACTACATCAAGTTTCTATAGTTTCTCTGCGCATAATATATTTCCAAACAAATAATCCGTCAAATAAAGTGGTATTTGTGCAAGAACAGTCTGCATAGCTATTTTAAAATAGTCACAGTTTCTAGAATCTCTCAAGTTTACGTGGATTTACTCCCGACTGTCAGTTGCACGTCGAAACGCTACGTCTAATATCTCGCCAACTGTCGTATTGACAATACGGATCTTACAAACATTATTTGTATTCATCAGTGAGAAGTATTATCCCCCATACTTTTATGTTCAGTATACCTTATAAAATGTCAAACTGAGTAGCCCAACACAGTGAAAACTGTATCGTCTGTAACAATTTGATCTTGCCTGTAAACTGGCATTCCTCATGTAACAGAGCTAAATTTGAGGATAAATTATTACTAGTATTACTATTTAGCATCGATTCGTCGCTAAGGTTTGCACAGTCAGTCCGTTAGAATGAGGAAGCGAAATTGAAAATATACGTATCTGAGTAAATACATCAATAGAGTTTGTAAATATGGTGTGGCGTGTAGCCATTCGCTTCGAAAACATTATCTCAATGTTATTTTCACTGGAGTGACCCTTTTTAGTCCGAACGTCACATGGAAAACTTCATACAGTATCCACGATTCTAATGTAAGCTATTGCTTAACGGGGTTTCGTTCCTAGTTGTAATGGATCAGCCATACCTTCAGGTAGGTACACAGGTATGCTTAACCATAAAAGGAGTCATATTGGCAAACCATAATATAATACTGTCCTAGGAGGTCTGATAAGTCACTAAGACCACCTTAGCCAGCAGCGAATTCCAGAAGTTTACTACTTGTAAAGAGTAAAAGATATGCCTACAACCATTCTATTATTTTACGTCTCTATATTCTAGATGTAAGCGATAAGGTTTATGTTTCGACTGAGCTTAAGTAAATATCATAGGGGTTGCTTAGGAGTGTTCAGCATACTATTAACCATTAGTTATTCTCATTTTTCTCTCCATTTTTAACCTTCTCTTTATTACATATCGAGTGTAAATCCCAGTAGTTACATATACAGCCTCATAGACAGTGTGGTTATGAACTAATACCACCATATTTTGCCACTGGATACGTTTTAGTGTATTCTTGTCCTTTTGTAGGGAGAGAAAAAACACTTTGGTTTCCATACTCCAAATAGGGTCGAACAAAACTGTTGAAAATCGGGTTGAAAACTCTACAATGAAACTGGCCGAAAATGCGTTTCAATGTTACTAGTGCGAGGTTTGCTTGAAGTGTACTTTTATCGCAGATGACGCATAACTTCAGACCATAGGGTACCAATTCTTTAAAGTGTTTTTCAAATTGAGGTATCTCAAGCGAAGATTTCCCCACGTTTTACGCGTAGTCTGCAACTTGTCTGAGACGGGTTTCCTGACATTTCGAATCACTGAAATCAAGTCCGTTGTTGTCCGCTGAACTATGAAGTCGAGTCAAATACTCCCCAAGTGCCAGCTTATCATCTTGGTTGCACACTTCTCTCCAAAGCTTCAAATCTTCAGCAAAAAATAACGAATACTTTCTATGAAAGATGATTCATATGGATTAAGATAAGAATCAAGTTTGTATTGTTGTCAATTGGGAATTCTTCACTTGTAAATGTGCAGTCTAGGTGTGACAGCTTTTAAATGTTTCTCAACCGAGTTTCTAGCTTCACGCTTTCGAACAGTTCCAGATCTTCAGTAAAGTCGAAGGACTGAGATTCAGTAGGGTTGTTGCCCTCAGTTTACGTGTGTTCAGCAAAATTCACTTTTGGAGGATTGAAATCTTGCAGAATCAGGTTATGAGTGTAATCAAGACGAATAAAGCTGGATAATCCTCCAGCATACAATCGTTGTCCGCAGTGGGCTTTCTGTAGATGGCTTCAATAAGACACTTTAAGATGTTAGAAAACCTTACTGAGCGCCATAAAGATTGCTCAAGATTGATAAACTCTTTGGTGTACACTTGATCCTAGTTACAGGGATGCTCCATCCCCTCATTCCTGTTCTTCTGTCGTTGCAGGACAAATTTATGCCGTAAAATGAATTTTCTAGGTTCCAAATATTTTTATAAAATTGAGTACAATTAGCGCAACTCACCTATTTTTTTGATAAACTCGTAGTGTTCTAATGTAGGCAGTAGATGCTCTCGATTTAAAAAGCGTGAGCGTTCTCGTTCCGCTTGTCTGAATGAACCTACTATGAATGGAGATGCGACTTACCTACACAGTGTTTCCCGAGTGAGTAAACCTTATCTTTTCTACGCCTTTTCCTGTCTGCAACTGAAATAACTGGCTTCAGTTTGCTCTGATGTACATAGAACACAGTTGTCAACTGGTGTCTGTTGATACAAAATGGTTCGAGGGTAACGGCCAACATTTTGGCGGATGGAAAAGTCATCTTCATTAGCCAGGTAATAAAATTTCCGTCCTTTGTGGCTAATCGTAGTGTTGTTGAGTAAATATGTTCTAAAGCTTTAAGAACTGCCTAAAGCACTTCCATTTTAGAATATCGTAATCTGGATAATCAGGGTTCTTTTTTTCTTGGACGCCCTGGACAAATACATCTCTTCCACGAAAGAACGTTTCTTGAGATTCCTCTAGAATTTTAATGATGACATCATGCTCAGAATACGGTATATCAGGTAGTATCTTCACATTCTCGTCTGGTTTCAACATCTGATTGGGTAGCAAAACATCCTTCACGTCATCGATGTTAGTGAACATCTAGTTTTTGATATCCGTCCTCCGAAAAAGGCGTGTAACCGTTAGCGGCTCAATTTTTGGGAGTTTGAGCTTTCTGTCCAACTTCCCAAAGCATCCGGTCGTTATCGTCCTACGGACCAGGAGGTAGGTCATAGCTGTCTCCAAAGTTCATGATTATTAGCGAATCATCACGAACTGTAAACACTTTAACAAGTTTTCGGGTACATTTAAGTTGAGGTCCTTTTTTCTGCATTTGGATTACGATCCGAATTTTCGTGTTTTCTCGGTGAGACTATAATTTATGGACGACCTTCGAGCGACGCCAAAGTGACCTTGAAAATGCCTACCAGATTACTATGGTTGAATGAGGGTTATGTAACAGTTTGAAGAAAAAGGATTATGATTTTTAGTTGAAGGTTGGTTTTAGGAATTAGATTCAGGGTTTTCATCACGAACTGACATCAGCTATAATGCCAAGACTCTATTTAGCCAAATGGGTGAATGAATTTCGCGCCCAAATTCGAGACCTGTAATCGTAAATATGATTGGTTCGTCCATAAATTATATTCTCGCCGTTTTTTTCTTGACTGGCTGAGCAATGCTGGGTGTAAGTTGGACAGAAAATTAATTAGCTGATTTTCATATGGGACCTGGGCTTTTCAGCATTCTCGACGTTGACTCTCGACCCTTTTCAGCCTTGTTGACGAGAGTCCGGTCTCCTTCAGCAGAAGTTTCGAGGTCTCCAGTAGCATTCGAAGGTGCTTTACAGGGAAACATCAGTTTAATCAGAGTCCAGTGCCGTATATGTTTTAGCGGTTCTAAGGTTCAGTATATCCTCAATAGTTTGGTGTTTATTTCATCAAAGTGAATACCGTTGAAGACCATCTCCTTCAGTTCACAGAACGTCTTTGTTTGTTTATTCGTTTCAGAAGTGATGATATTGCTCAGCGAATCCCCAGCTTTATTGTTAAGCCCATGCTTGCTTCTTGAGGCCACCTTTTGCACTCGTCACCCTTTATACCACATGTGACCATAAAATGGCACCCAGACCGCTTACATGAGAGCTTAGTGACCATGGTGAAATATAAATTGTTAAACATATTCAGGAAGAAGTTCGCGATCGTGAAGACAGCAAGATGCTCGAATCGGAAAAGTGGTTAAAAGCGAGTACTATGAAAGATTAAGACATACTAAAATAAGCCTATTGACTTGAAAGCCTTGTATGCAGAATAGTGAGCTGAGACACAAACACAATTGTCGATTAATTCGGATTAAACTCGAAAAGAAAAGCAATCTGCAAAATGCGAATCTCAGGACGAAATCTACGTGATTTTTCAGTCTAAGTGACTAGTACTATCATGCCATTTGTTTATGCTAATCACTATAAATGCCGGCCTTTTCAACCAAATTACTGTTAACATTTGATGGGGTTTTCGTTACTGATGGACTATGAGTTGCCAAGCCTTTTCAAAAAATATTGGTCCAGCTCTGATTGCTTGGTTTCTCCTTATATTTCTTACTGTTTTGTATTTAGTGTTTATGTAGGTTATTATAAGCTTACTACTAACTTTTCAGTTGTTGGGATTTTAGCAAAGAAACTAGTTATGCATTTACTGTGTGTCATTCTTTGCTGTTTTTCTTTGTGGTATCTGCATTTGCCAAGGCAACCTTCATGGACCCTGGATATTATGCTATGGGTGCGTCCTGAGCCTCACACTAACCGTTTGTAAATAGGTGTTCCCGGTGAAAAGATGACTACTGTTGAGAAAGGTTCCCCTCGTACTGTAATGTATAAGTCTGTTGACATAAATGGAGTTTCCACCCGTTTGAAATGGTGTGTCACATGTGAATTTTACAGACCTCCTCGCTGTTCTCATTGCTCTATTTGCAAACATTGCATTGATGTAAGTTGTTCAGTCCGCCAAAAGATTTTCAGACGTTTGATCATCATTGTCCTTGGCTGAACAATTGTATTGGGAAACGAAACTATCGGTATTTTTTCTCGTTCCTACTCACATTAACTCTTCATATGATTATTGTTTTTGGCGTGTCCATGACGTATGTTCTGATGCGTACGAATGAACTCTCTCACTACAAAGTCATTATTGCGTATCCTTTATCTTGTGTCTTTTTAACTGAAGACAAAACTTTCAGTATTCCTTAGCTTATCTTTCAGCATTGGTGTGTTAATTTTGGTAGGCTTATTGCTGCTTCCTGTGCTAGGTCTGACGGGATTTCACATTTTTTTAGTCAGCAAAGGACGAACTACAAATGAACAGGTAAGTCTTAAGTGACTTTCGCCCGAGAGTTTTGTCACTATATATTTCATCAAGATGCTTGTACAAATATCTTTTGTTTGTCGATATTAACCTGCTGAGATTGCTAATTCCCATATGTCAGAGGAATGTATCCGCTATGACTTGGGATTTGAGCATGGATTTAATTATCTTCAATAAGTTACCAATTTGACTTTAGTGGCCTAAATTCTCCATGATTTGGGATTCATGTGCTTCATGAGTTAGGGTGTACAGCCACAACACATGGGTCAACTAAGTATTACTTTTGATTGTAAGATTTAAAAAAATGGAAAACTTTCTTGGCAACCTATTGATCAGTGTTTTTAGTCTGAAATTACGTGATTTCAATTCAAAAGTATCTTACCTGTGTCTTTATATCTCCAGACTAACCGAAAAATGAAAACCAATTGTTATAGAACTTCTGACAAAAGACGACGGACTTTCGATGTACGATAGTTTGGTATTAAATATTTTAGACTTGAGATGATATGTATAATTCTAGTCTTTTAGGTATCTCTTTGATATCTGTTAATTCTTGCGAATTATTTTTTTAATAGACTTCAATTTCATCTTCGTAAGTTTATAGTCACTCTATTCCCAAGTCTGATCCTACAACTGCTTAATTATGGTAATGTAACTTACTCTTGTTTCACTTGTTCACCTCATTATTGTTATATTCTCATTATGCAACATTTTTTTCCTTCATAATTTCAAAGGTCACTTCAAAATATGATCTTGATATGAACCCTTATGATCGCGGCCTGTGCAAGAACTGGCTACACATTTTTTGTACCTCTCAACCACCTATGTAAGTTTTGTTTCCTCAGTTTATTTTATATTTTCCATGTAGATTGAATCGACCAAATGTAGCAGAAGTTGATATGTGGGAAATATCCTATAATGGTAAACCTATCAAACACCGCCAAACATCAAATTTGCGTTCTGGTTCTAATAACTACAAGCTTTCTGATACTTTTGTAAGTTAATTCATCCTGCCGTAGTATTTTGTAAATAGTTGTTTTTCTAATTCGTTGTTTCGACTCTTTAATCTGTAGACTAAACTGCAAAATATACTAACAGTTAGATAAGACCTCTAGTCTTTCTACTTGTTAAGTCTCTCGATGAATACAATTTAATATTTACTGTTGTTAACTATGTGTAAGTTTTCAACTGATTGTTCACGCTTCATATGAAAAATTTTATGTATATCTCTATTAGTCACTCACCCATATACGAAATTCCTTCCTTTAGCAAACACGTATCTACATATGATTTCTATTTTTGCTGAAGTAGTTTACTTTGTGTTTCATCTTTTTTCGCCTTGCGATAATTAAAATCATGTTTAGGTGTTTATTTTCGGCTGTTTCTTGTTTAGTGATCACGCGCTACTTTCGTTCATGAGTAATTCATCTCAATCTCTGATTTGCGATTCTACAAGCTTCAGTAAAATATTTGCCTTCCTATTCTTTTAGTTGTTAAATATATTAATTGTTTAAAGATCTTCATCATATTACAAGACCAATATTTGAACAAATAGTATTCTTTTCGATAAATTCTCTTCAGGTTCTAAACGTAGATCTTAAATTTTCGCTCAACATATATGCTGATTCGAATTAACATTCTGTATGGGTCATATCAACATTAACAATTTTATTCTATTTATTTTAACAATCATAAATTCACACGCGTTAACTTTAAACGATGTACTTTTCCCTTAACCTGACCATTTTTCGGATTATTAGTTTGGATATATAATTGTAGAACTTGAAGAGAATTTATCGAAAATAATATTCTTCGTTCGAATATTAGTCTGTAGCGTGGTGTCGAGTCGCGATAGACTATGAACACCACTACAAAGGAACGCGTGCCAGGATATCCATAATATCCCCCGGAAGCGAAATATCAGAAGACAGTTAATGGACCAAATCGAGATATATTCGCTGGCGATCTCGTGGTACCGAAAGGATACCGAAATCGTTCCAAGATACAAGCTTGATTACAGAACGTAACCGAATTCGCGCGAGGTCACAATCAAAGTGTAATAATAATAATGATGGAAACACAATGTAGCTGTCATTAGCACAGTTGAACAAAGAGCACATTAAATCAAGCACTGGTACAATTGGTTATAATACTAATTGTTTTCATTAAACCAGTCGTGTTCTCGTGATAAAAGTGAGTCACTACAAGTCTGTTAAATATATGCTAAAATGCATAACAACTGTTATGGCACAGGATATACTCTACCGATTGACCACTCTGTTGTCAATTCATACCGTTGTTTGAAAGCTACCGAGCTTTAATTTCAACTCAGATCGCAACAACAGCCAGCTTATTTTATTCAATTTATAACTGTCACTGAACTATGAGTCGCTTTGTATACATTTATGAGCCCGAAAAATTACAAAATGTGACGTTATTTTAGCAAATTTTTAGTTACGATGGAATTTAAGTGGTTTAGAGTAGTAATTAAGACTAGAACTGTTGTAACGCAGTTCAACTGAGCTGTTCAGTTGTATTGAGATTTAACTTGTGTGAAAATTACTTGGCACTGGTTCTGTCTTTATGATAACAATCCTAACGTTTACCTTTAGAAATATTTAGCCATTTCTACTAACGACTGGTCAGTTGTCATTTTTTTTGAAAACCGTCTAATTGTGGAATTCAATCATTACAGATACAGAGAAATACCCTTGTCTCACGTAATTAAGGGATTCGTGTACTACGTAATAAATGAGACTGATTTCATTATCAATTGTTTGGCTGGTTATCACATCATATATATGGATAGCCGGAGTTTGACCCCACAACACACTTTAAAGGCCAAGTCTATGAATCAATAATATATAAACATTATATGACATCGATTATTTGTGCAGTTCGTCTGACTAAAGTCTTGAATTTCTAGCCAAGTGGTTGAATATTTATATTACAAAGTTATACAGACCAAGTTTGCATATATGTTGTTGAAACGATTTCTGTCTATCAGAAATAATCAACGTAGAAACTTGCACAAATTTTGGTCAACTCGATTCTTCATACTTTGTTAACACAAGGTGGAATTAATCAAATGAATAGATTTGTGGTCAAAATAATTGTAGTAGCAATCATAATTAAAAAGACTGAACATTAAGACTAAGGTTTAGGAAGAAAGAATGAAAGGATATGTATGAATATATTCTGGGATTCATGATCTAGAAGATAAAGAATGAATGGATGTTTGTTTCTGTGACTGATTCTTATCTATGTCACCTAGTGTACTCAACCATTGAGAGCAGTCATCGCACGGACCTCAATCAGGTAGTTTTCAGCTACCAATATGGCTCAAACTTTCATAAGTTCTGTAAAATGTTTTAGTTAGTTCATGATGAGTTACTGCTACCCTTTGTTCCCACACAAACTATTATCTGTCAAGTTCATTTGCGTTAAAAATGCTCGAGAAATGTATTGTTAAACTTATTTCTAGTTTTTGTGTGACAATATTTTTTTGTGTATCTTTGTAGAAATCATCTAAAAACCCGGTTGATATTGTTAAACAGGGAGAAGTTGTTTGTGAAAAGGTGGATTTGGAAGATATAGTTAATCATTCTTCTGATCAACGAAACACATCCGAAGTAATATCAAGTGTTCATCATGAATTAAACAAATCTCTTTCACCCAACCCACAATCAAAAGTTTTATCCCTTAAAGAGTTTTCAAATGCAACCCACACTAATGAAAACCTTATGTCTAGATCGCAATCTCCTGTTTGTGGAAGGACTGGCGAATTAAATAAAACAAATCCAAATCTTGCTTTAGTAGGAACAAAGTCAAAGTCTTTAGGTAACAAAGATCAAGGTAAAAGTCTACTGATTGGGACAAATACACCAAAATATGTATCAAATGAAAATAGTGCTAGCTTTAATTCTAATATCAATTCTGTTGTAACATCTACTAACGTCCCCACGAAAATCATATCCGATAGAGATCGTTTCGGCATAAAAGGTGACCATTTAACTCCACTTCTAGGATCTCAAGCGAATTCGGACGTTGACTTGATTCGGGGACGTCAATTGCAAAAACTTACCATAGAAAACCAAAGTAAGTCGAGTAATTCGCTTCATCTCAGACAACAGGATCAGAGTGCCGCTACCGAAATTGGAAGAAGTTCTTCACGTGATTTTTCTTCTCGTTCCAATGAAAATATGTGTCCTTGTACATCATCTAATTCGATGATGAATATCCGCGATCGAGTCACCCTACCGATAAGTTCACATGGTGCGTCATTTTCTCAACCGCGTGCTGCTACTGCCGAACAATTCAGTACTCCTCAGGATTTTAATGGTACACAGTGTACATCTAAATCTTACTCTCCTTCAACAGGTCGTGGTATACATTATGTCACGTCAGCTACACTTGATTGTTACACCCCTGAATCTGTAAATCTACCAACTAGCAATATATCAAGGGGTTTTGTGAAATCAATGAGATCTGAACAACGCCGTCATGAATTTCCGCACCAGTTTTATCCTCGGTCTCCTGGAATGCAAGTAGATCAAAGACACTTACTACCCCATAATGAAGTTGCCAATCATTTATCTCCACGGTCACTTCACAGTCTTCCTCCACCTCTACCTCCTCATGGCTCCCAGACAAATATTTCTCATGCTCGTCCATTTTGGCCTCCAGCTGTACCTCCTCACGGTATTTCTAAATCAGTACCATATTTCTTGCCGGTTGATACAGCTAGTCAATTTAGTAATACCACAGCATCCTCTAATCTTCGTTTGGTCAAACCACCTTATTTCAGTAATCCTCATGGGGTTCAAGTGGATGGATCTAGTTACTTCATAGGTAGTCCACGTACAAATGAGCAGTCAGCTTCAAAATTTGTATCTCAGTCATTTGGTTCGACTCATTGTCCTTCAATTATGACACAAGCTGGTTCACGTCCTACGCCACCATTACCTCCGCATAATCGAATTTCTAAACTGAATGCACCAAACAATCGAATGCAATCAACTGGACATAGGAATTCTAATCATTTAGTCACACGATGGCAAAAGGATGGTGATTCTAATTCTCCTGATGGGACTTTTGAAATTTCAGTTTAGAAAATGTGTGTTGATAATTCCTTTAACCTAAAAGTGATCCTAAAATTTTTAACCAAGTTCTTTCATTTTTTGTTCTCTTCGTTGTTTTTCGTTAGTCTTTCAAAATATCTTTGACCACTGTAAAATTGCTTGTCACTCAACGAAAGAATTTATCTTGTTGCTTTTATAAATCTCTACAACTTGTATAAATAACGTTTCTAAGCTATATTCTGTGACTACTATGTACTCTACTTGTAACGATATGTTCATAAAGTTTAATATTCATGAATTTGAAAAAGAAAGATTCGTAGGCAAATAATGGAATATTCTAAACGTTATTATGAAATGAACAACTATACATATACTTATGTGCAATAAAAAACAACCACTCTTAATTGTTATCTATTTCTTCTTCAGGATTTTACGCATAGTTTACGTTTTATTCACTGGATTCTTTCTTTTAGAAAATGCATTATTATAAACTATACAACGAATTCTTATTAATATCTAGGCTCTCAATCAAATCAAAGAAAAAATATACAAATTTCATACCGTTTTATAAATTTGTTCAGTATTCGACAATGTAAACAAAATAATTAAAAAAACTCATGCTTGTATATTACATAATTTTTACCGTTTTTTTAAAAAATTGCAATTATATATGCATCTATTTGTTCATAAATATGTGAATCCAATTTCACTGAATAATAGCGGTACATAAAATTGTTGCTGCTAATGTTGATGGGTGACCTACAACTGCCTTTAATTTCTACATTTGTTTGAAAGAAAATTCCCTCTAAATTAAATATTATCAACTGTGTTGTGTTTATATATCTTGTGGCCTTTTTGTTCTTAATCATACAATAAAAATATACGTTTATACTATGTTGGATTGATTATGCCTAATTATTGAACAAGTGCTGTGTACACCTTCATGTAGTACGTTGTTACGTCAATTTTATGTACAATTTTCTGCTCTGTACAGAAAATAAAAGTGAATTAATGCAGTGTGTACTCTTTTTGATACGTCTGTTTGGCTCTGAATAACGGTTGCTCTAAAATATTACTTTAATGATATATCGATTGTGCTTTCTGCCATCGACTTGTCCGTTATAGTGTTAAGGCTTTTATACATTGAGAGTCGAGTTTTCTGTTCTTTTTAACCTCATTAATCATGTATTGTTTATCCATTTTACAGAAAATTGGAATATAAACGTGTGATTAAATTGGTAATTGAGGTTTACAGAAAAAGCACATCATTTAGACATTAATTCAGAATTAAAAGATTCAGATTTACTGACTTCAGTTGGACAAAACTATTGAGTACTGTTCAGTTCTCCCTAATTTACCCCTAACAGTAAAACTATATTAAAAGGGATCTCAGCAAACTTTGAAAATACTCTAATCTCCCATGCAGGGAGATGATGTTCAAATCTGTAGCACCTGCTTAATAGTTAATGATAATATCAGTCTAATACAATAGTGTACAGATGTTTATTAGTATGCTCTTTGTATATCTTCGTATTTGCACAAAAATATATTCTGCATGTAATCATTCAGTTTATAGCAGTGGCTCCCTGGAGAGCAAACTTGAATTTGGTTACAGTTATAGCACTGATTTAAGAGTTCTTAATCGGTTATCATTTGCCCGAGTTGACATTTCTGCATACCTATCTTTTTTGTCTTAAAAGTCAGCTTCGTTCTAAAGTTGAAGTTGGAAATAATTTGTCGTTTTCACGTATATCACTAGATAACTATATAATCCCTATATTTCCTAACTATGAATTCTATTCGAGATTATTACTACTCTTGTTCTTTTATCTTTTTAAAATTTAATTCGAATTCAAATTTCATTTTCTGATTTGTTGCAATAGCTGTGCTAGAAACAGGCTGAATTTTTGTTGCTTCACTCTAGAAAGAAGTACCGTTTAATGTCATGCTTGTATTTCTAAATAATTCAAACTTCGTATCTATACTCCACTTTTTAGTGTTCATTACATTTAAATATCAAGTTTCTTAAAATTATCTTCAGTTTTCACCTTAAAAAGGCTTTACATTCACTCAAGCATAGTTGTATTTGTCCATATATATTACCATTATGTTCTTTTTCAGTGACAAATAGCTAATCAGAAAGAATCTGGTTTATAAAATTAATAAGCCAGAAAATGTTTGCTTGAAGACTTCCAGTTTGCATCTCACGTATTAAATATGAAGATCCTGTATAACTATATTAACTTCTTTAAACACATACAATTGGTTACTGTTCTATATTTCTTGAGGGTCCTCCCAAGTTTATAAATTTGCAAGTTTTTTTCAGTGTAGAACAAATTAAATAAATTTTATTTATTACATTATTTCGTGAATTTCAGACAATATGGAAAGTTGTTCAAGGATATTACAACCGTTATTGTAATCTACATTATAAGTTGTAGAAATCCAAACTTATAGACCGTACTCTGTCTGTATAGATCTCAAACAATGATCTCAATAAGTTCATTTTATTAAAATGTGGTTTTTAAAATTCCTTTTTTTGTATAAGTGAATGCTTGTACATTATTACGCTTTGATTCGTCGAACTTTGTTACTTAATGAATTATTGTTCTTTTTCAGTTGTTTTGCTGAATGCATAGGATCGAAGCTTCAGTTTAAAACAATGACGTCAAGTTTATATGATGACTTGGATATTTTAGACGGAACACCTCTCGATAATTTAACATCAAGCGAGTCGTCTAACAAGTCAGGAAATGCTCCATTAGTTGGTTTGCGTGTCACTGCTAACTGGTCGGAATCTGATGTAGCATCATCTAATCAATTCAATGTGAATGCTTCTTCAGTCAATTCAAATTCCAGGTAAGTTATCATTAATTCAATGGCTTTAAATTAGTTCGCTTTTTCAGCTGGTGAAATGATTGACTAAGAGTAGTATTGGTTTACTATTTTATTTTTCATCCCTTTGCCTGTATTTACACCTACTTACTATTTAACTTCATATTAAACCATATTAATGGGAAAATTTATACATTGATTATGAAAAGGCGTTTGACAGTGTAGATAGGAGAACGTTATGGAAACTTCTTCAACACTACGGAGTTTCTGAGAAGATTGTCAACATTATCCGGAACTCGTACGACGGACTAAAGTGCAAGGTCGTGCATGGAGGATAGATGACAGATGCATTCCAAGTAAGGACCGGAGTCAGACAAGGCTGTCTACTCTCTTCCTTCCTCTTTGTTCTGGTGGTCGACTGAATTATGAAGACCTCGACATCTAAGGGACAACACGGAATACAATGAACAGCTCAGAACTAATTAAACGATTTGGACTTCGCGCATGACCTAGCCCTCCTATCCCATACACACGAACAAATGCAGATAAAGACAGCCAGTGTAGCAGCAGTCTCTGCATCACTAGGCCTCAACCTGCACAAGGGGAAAACCAAGATCCTCAAATACAACACGGATAACAGCAATCCAATCACTCTTGATGGACGATGTAAGATCATCCACATACCTGGGAAGCATCAACCATTAACTAGGAGGTTCAGGTGCAGACGTAAAGGCGAGGACTAGCAAAGCAAGGATAGCATTCCTACAATTGAAGAACATATGGAACTCAAAACAACTTTCAATCAATATCAAAGTCAGAATCTTTTATACGAACGTCAAGGCAGTTCTACTGTACGGAGCTGAAACTTGGAGAACTACAACAACCATCATCAAGAAGGTACAAGTATTTATAAATAGCCGTCTACGCAAGATACTCAACATCCATTGGCCGGATACCGTCAGCAGCAGCCTTCTGTGGGAGAGGACACACCAGCTTACAGATGAAGAGGAAATTAGGGAAAGACGACGGAAATGGATAGGACGTACATTACGCAAATCATCAAACTACACCACGAGGCAAGCCCTAACTTGGGATCCTGAAGGGAAACGGAAAAGAAGAAGACCAAAGAACACATTACGTCGGGAAATAGAACCAGATATGGAAAGGATGAGTAACAACTGGAAAGGATTGCCCAGGACAAGGTTGGATGGAGAATGCTGGTGAGCGACGTATGCTCCTTCACAAGGAGTAAGTAACAGGCGTAAGCAAGCAAGTAAGTACCCTTATACAAATATATTCATCCTAAAACTATTAATTAATGTATCGGTATATTGAAATGCATAATATAGTCAATAATCACCAGAATATAGCGGTAGGTAACATGATTTACTTTTTCAGTAGTACATTCATAGTTGTCAAACATTTTTACTCATTTACATCATAATTTTACATATAAGTGTTTACCGTAAAAAATTTTAAAATCTGATTATCGTGGCTAGTGTAAACAGTGAATGGTTTTCCCTTTCTGTTTTTCGTTCCCATTTTATGTGTATGTACGCGTAGTTAAGTGGGTACGCGTAAAGTTGAAGTGTGTCAAATAAGTGTAAATAAATTTTATTTTAGTTATTACTTTTTTCATCGTAATTCCCCATTTTCTTTGTCTTAGAGGAATTCTTCCATAATGCTCCCGTCGGATGTTGAGAAAACATCCCATCGATATAACATATTGTTAATAACATTCGGTCACAGGGTAGAACCTAGTAAGTATAGACAACAGTTCGATTTGCTATACCCCCTTAGCACAGATAGATAAAATTGTTTGGCCAAATCCCAGAATAGTAGTGATGAGACTTCCAAGATAAGTAAAGCGGTCGATGCGTTCAAGCACTTCACTCACTATCATTAATTCAAACGTTGATGCAAGCCAATCCTGAAGTAGTATATCACATTTGGGGGGCGAGAACCTCAACCCAAACGTGCTTTCATTGTTGTTTAAGGCAGTCAAAAGACCGTATTTCGTCAGCGCCTTCCTCAAACAGAACCATATCATCCGCGTAACCAGACAGATACTTCCATAGACTCTCGAGATCAAAGGAGTCGAACGCTGCCCTAAGGTCAAGAAATACGGCCATAGTCGGATGTCTAAAACTGCATCGATTTTCCAGAACCTGACGAAGGGTGAATATATGGTTTAG